CCCCCCCCCCCCCCCCCCCCAACAGCAGCAAAGTGAGGTCAAAAATGCTTCTGCAGAGTAAACAGGATTCAAACTAAGTGGGGAGCATCATCCCCCTCCTTCAAGAATCCAAAGCGAGGTTTAGACTGAGACCTTCCAATAAACTGACTGAAAAAGTGGAAGGAGGGGCAATGAAATAGTGAGCTGAAAGACCAAGAGTTAATGACAAGTAAGGAATTTTTTTTCTCCATTTCCTAATAAACACGGCCAAGCAATTATTGTAATTAAAGATTTAAGATAAAAGCACTTTATATTTTGGGGGCCCTGGATATCAATTAAATATTTATTATGTTATTTGCCCACCTAAGGAGAAAGCCTAGCATTGTAATTGTGCAGAATTAAAAGCATAATTAAAGGAGGACAGGGAGGAGGGAAAATTCTGGTGACTTCCTCGGACTGTGTAGCAAGATTCATGGGTGTACACACACGAGAGACCAAGCCTGAGATGCTCCTGCCCCAATTCCACAGTGCCCCTTTTCCAATTACTAAGGCACTGTTGGACAGCTACTGAGATGGGTGAGATGGTGATCATTGGGCCAGGCTACTCTTTTGACACTCTTATTCCAGAGCTCTCAGTTGCTCTACACCACGGCGTCTGCTCAGAGGAAAGGGGAAATGGCTTATCTGCTCAGGAGCAAGAAGGCATAAAACACAGAAAAGCAATTACATGCCTTCAGTTTCCACTCCTCTGTTTTTATAGAGCTTGTCTGGGAATCTGAGTGATTTTATGCATTAGAGAGAGATGATGATCAAAATGAGGAGCAATGACATGCATGGGGGGGCCGAGCGACAGCAGCTTTAGATATTTATTTTCCAGTAGTTATGGATCCTATAAACAACGGGTTGCTCTGGAGGGAGGCAAGAACCCAAAGTTTTGCAGCTGAACAAGGGCGACGAGGCTTTTTACTACAGCCAAATGTAGGGGGCACACACCTAGGCATGTCTGAAGAGTTCCACTTCCCTTTACAGTTCTGCATCAATTCGAGGTAGGAGGAGCGCACACAGTCCAGAGAGGTATTCCAAATACACACACTCGCATGGGAGAAGGGTTCTTTCCTGATATTTTACTGACTGTTTCAATCCACAGCTCTTTCAACAAGCCCACTTTTTAATACTGACCCTAGCGTTTTTAAGGCCAAGCCTGGGATTTTGTCTTGAGCAATCTGACATTTACAATTAGGAGCATCACCCACAGCCTTCCCTGCCTGCCACTACTCTGTTGCCGCACCACCAAAACATTTCCAAAGATTCTAGACCACCACCGTCACGTTACAACAAACTGGAGCATAGGGCCCGATCCTCAGCTGGGATAATGACCAGCATACTTATATCAGGTGAGGATTTGGCTTCTAGAAGTTTGCCACATTCGCCCACCTGCGACTGAAAAGGCCCCATGTAGCACAGTCAGGGTGCATCTACACAGCAAGGCTTAACTCGAAATAAGCTACGTAAATTGAGCTGTCAATTGCGAAGCTTATTTCAAAACAGCTTATTTCGAAATTGGGTGTGTCTACACAGCACTTATTTCGAAACAATACACTCCTTCCTCCGACTTCCCTTACTCCTACAATGAGGGTTCCAGGAGTTGGAGTAAGGAGTCCTCTAGCTTGACAGTACTTTGACATTATTTCGAAATAACGCTGGTTATTTCAAAATAATGTTGCTGTGTAGATGTACATTTGGAGAACACCAGACAGAGGGTCAAGTATGGTTATAGCCTAATGGCAGAGTGCCACTGCTAAAGAGGGACATTCTATGAGATGTCTACTGAAGGCTCCATAGACACCCAACCTCTCCAAGCAAGACTGAGTAGGTCACAGTAAGGAACACACGGAAGGAATCCCTGTTGCACATAACGAATACATACATGCGACAGCTCTACTATATATTTGAGAGGAGAGCTTGTCTGTCTGTCTGTTCAAGAACTCCTCCTAAACGGTAAGAGACAGGACCACCAAATTCAGTATACAGCTTCCTCTTATCACTTAAAGCAAGCTAAGGGTTTGGTTGTGCCAGGACAATGGGATGTGCCTGGGATGAGACTGCTCCTCTTAAAGCCATACAAAAAGAGAGACAGGATCACCAGCCAAGTGAAAAGGACTGGTTCCCAGGTTCCCACACCCTCATCTGGGACTGCCCATGGCCCTTTAGGGAGAGCGGGGGGGGAGGGAGGGCCTAAAGCTCGGCCATCTCCTCCCTTCCTGGTTCGTATTGGGACATTGCTGGCTGTTCCCCTTTGTTAGGGAGTGAGAGGAAAGTGCACAGTTTGCTGCATTCCTCACCCTGGCACAGGCGGCAGAGGAGCTGTGCACTGTGCTCTTGCTCCCTGACAGGGACAGGAAAGGGAAGATCAAGCAGCCTGGGCATGAAGCCCGGGAGGGCGAGGGGGGGGTTCTGCACCCCATCCCCTAGACACACACGTAGAGTCCCCTGCCCAGAGTCCACCCTCACCTCTCCAACCCTGACTCCTGCACCCCCCAAAATCCCCAGGCCCCTGCCCTGAGCTGCTCCTTAAGGACCCAAGCCAGGTAAATGCTAATAGGCTATAATTTCCCATTCAGGAGATAATGCCAACAGGCAGCCCTTGTAATTGAGCTTCCGGCAGCAGCTCCAGCCCAGTCCCATGACCCAGCGTCAAGCGCTCTCCATGCCACCATCCCCCCCACCGGGAAGTACCTTCTTTTCATGATACTGATATGCAGATCCTCCTCCTGCTTCACTTCGGGGTGCTGACCATTGGCCTTGTCACTCTCCTCACTGTCGTCACTATGTGAGAAAATGGAGGTCAGCTCTTTCTTTGGAAGCCTGGTGGGAGGCAGCGGGATCGTCCTCTTCTCGGCCAGGCGACCCCGGTTCTGGCGAGCGGAAGGAATTAGCCCAGACGTCAGGGAGGGAGGGAGAGAAGGAGAATTTGATTAGGCAACGCGGGACCAAACAGCTCTCCTCAGATTGCTACATTTAGAGAGTCAGCACCCAGTTAACACAGGCGCAAAGGTTCGAATACATGCTACTTTCCAAGGCATTCTCATTACGGTCACACTCAGCCTAACCTGGCGGCTGTTCTAACAGGCAGACGCATCACATTCCCATTCCTTCTACACCCTGCCTGCTGGCCCAGGTCCTCAGGCGGACCCCCTCTTGCTGAGAGGTTTCCTAACAATATAGGACAGACTTTGGCTAAGTCTATACGGGCACTTCATAGCGCTGTCACTTTCTGGCTCAGGGGCGTGAAAACACACCCGCACGCTCCACCAGGGCAGCAAGTGACAGCGCTGTACAACGCCAGTGTGAACAGGGTGCTGTGCTGGGGGAGGGGCAATTCTCCTTCAGGGACGGCAGCAGCTCCCTGCTGAGGAGAGACTCGCTGCTCTGCCGTCAGCTCCGTGCGCGGAGGCCTGAGCCTCTGGCTGGGCAGGACTCATTAAGCAGCTGTAGGGCCGTGCTGCTGCATGGCTGCGGGTACCTTGACCATGGCCCCCTCCTGACCACAAAAATTACTTCTTCAAAAACTCAGGAGGGGGGAAACTGAAGCCTGAGCCCCAGTGCCTGGGATGAGGGAGCCAAAATCTGAGCCCCACTGCTTTGGGCCTGGGGGCAAAACTGAAAGCCCCATGCAGGTAGCCTATTACCTCAGCCCCCCTGCTGAAGCCCCCAGCTTTGGTTTCCATCCTGGGCCCCAGCAAATCTAAACCAGTCTTGGCCACCCCACTCAAAAGGGGGGGGTCACAACCCCCCTTTGGAGTTCCGACCCACGCCTTGGGAACCACTGGTCTAACGCCATCCGTTGTAGCTATGACTTCTACTGTGTGTTCTGTAAAAAGGGGGGTGTTAGCACCAGACTTCGAACCTGCAGAAGGGCCGGGCTGAATATCAGCTGGCTTTATCATCCCAGAGCTTTATATATTTGCCTGAAGTTGCAATTTATCATAACAATTAAAGGGGGTGGAGGGAAGGGGGTGCAAATTTCCGCTGCAAAATAATTGCAATATGCTCTCTGCTGCGACTTCGCAGGCTAAAGAGAACAGCGCTGATCAGATAATAAAAACCATTTTATGGCCATTATGGTACCTTAGAGCAGTTACCAGGTCTCAGTGACTGCTTGGGGACTCATCAGATCTAACAAGAGAGTACGACAGAAAAAGGAGGCACTAAACCTAGAGAAAGAGCCCACCAGGCCATGAACAGAACGAATGGCTTCCCTGCAACATATATAATACTCTGCACTACATTTGTAATACATTTGCTCATTTCACTTAAACCCCAACACCAAGGGTGGTTCACTGGCACCGCCCGCCCCGCCGCTGAAGTCACAATGGCATCCGACAAAAGGGAAGTGCTCTGTTCCTACGGACTTACAAGTGATTAGAGATAGACCCTCTACTTAAAAACAACCAGCCAATGACAGAAAATATCTCCTAGGCTTCAAGTAAGGCTTAGCCATCCCTAGACTGTTCAATTTGCTCAAGTGGCATGCACAGACCTGCTCCGAAAAAGGGACAACCAGGTTACACTGATTCTCCACTCCATTGTGCCAATGCAAATGCACTAAAATCGAATGGAGCCTACGCTGACGTTCAAGACCGCGTTGCGGAGCAGAAACCAGATCCTCAGTATTCAATTAACAAAATGCCTAAACTGTGCTAACTAGGATGTTAAAAATGAATTACAGTGTTTACAGTTTTATTTGTCCTATTTATGCCATTAGGGGGGTTGTTTTGCATTTCCCCCAGGTCAGACAATTGAACAGACTGGAAGAGTCGATTCTGTCCTTTACTTTTGTCAGTTTCCAATCAATTTCTCTTTCTGAATCCATGCAGGGGTGTTTACCAGTGGACACACACTTGCATTTGGTATACAGGCAGCTACAGGCCTGATCCAGAGTCATTCTTCAATCAAGGGGACTCTTTCCACAGATTTCAAAGGGCTCTGGATTACGCCAGGGGTGAGTAAACTAGAACTGTTAATCAACACACAGGGCTAGACCCAAAGGACACTGAAGACAATGGAATTGTTCTCTCTAGGATCAAATCCAACATCCCTCGTCAATACCACAGACAGATTACGTCAGCAAGAGGCTCCTGTGCAGGTGAGCACTGTATTCAAATACCACAAGGTACTCGGATTCGGAGTGGTTCAATGTCACTTAACACACCTGTGGCAGGTAGTTAAATATGCATTCAGCTAAGTAATGGTATGTGCTAGTAAGTCTTCAGAAACTGCAGTGGCATTATTCTATGTAGGAAGGTACCAGCTTTATCAGCAGTGAAAGTAACTTAACATTTCTTACAGGTCCTGTCCTATTGCAACCCAGATCCCAGCCAGCTCTTTCAATAGCTCCTGCTGGCTTTTGCCGCAGTTTAACCAGCTCTTGTGGGAGCTGCGCACAAGGGCGCACCTGCTTCTTTTCACCTCTGGGCTTTATAGATATTTGAAGGCGTTATCAAGCAACTAGGAAGGCTTGTCCACGTAGCAGTGGCATTATGTGCAGGCCTCATATATTAGCAGGAGGCTCCAAAAGCTGAATTGCAAACACTGCAAGAGATTTTTATTCTTTTCAAAACAAACGGCTCCCATTTATTTATGTTTTATGTCCATAACATGAGGAATGCCCAGGTTTCTGAAAGCCACCTGGTACAGGCTTAAGCCATCCTATCAGTGTCCTTTTACATCTCTTGCATCATAGTCTTGAAAAGCCAGAGAGACCAGGGAGAGTCGAACCCTGGGAGATCCACCTCCCGAGTGTCAAGCTTGGGGTAAGTGAAGGCAAGCCCTTAGCCTAACCCTGATGGTCTGAGAACCTCACTTGAACACCTCTGGTTATACCCAGAGGTATCCTGAATGTATGTAATGGCTTTGCTCTATCTCAGGAGGAGGAATGCAAGTCCTCTGCTAGTTAGGTCCTCTCAGAAACACGTTCTCTAAAGTGATTAGGCCAGAAATGCACAGTGCTCCGTGAGGCTTATGAGTTTTTAGCATCAGAGCAAAAGGTGATAGGCTAAACTAAACTTCAAGCCCTTCAGAAAAGTCTCAATTGAGAGTGAATGAATCCACAAGCAAAGCTGAATCTGGAACGACGCCCCACTTGCATCTCATTGAGGAATGAAACCACTTTATAGCCCTATAACCCAAGAACAAGAGGGCACAGAGAAACTGAGGCAACACAGTTAAAAATGTACTTTTTAACCTGTAAAAACAACAAGGAGTCCTGTGGCACCTTAAATATTAAGGGCATGTCTACGCTACGGAGAAGATCAACCCGCTGGAGGTTGATCTTCTAGCATTCGATGTAGACCCCCCAAATTGAACGCAGAGGGCAGCACCTGCCGGTGCTCAATACTGCTCATTCTGAGAGGAGTAAGGGAAGCTGATGGGAGCGTGGGCTCCTGTCGGCCTCCCGCAGTGTAGATGCTCCAGCAGCTTGGCTTAAGGTAAGCTAAATCCAGCTATGCATTTTGCATAGCTGGATGGCGTACCTTAAGCCAACCTGCCTGAGCTAGTGTATACCAAGCCTAAGAGATTTATTTGGGCATAAGGCTTTCGTGGTTAAAAACTACTTTAGTAGGAGTCCTGCGGCACCTTAGAGACAAAGGGTATGTCTACGCTACCACCCTAGTTCGAACTAGGGTGGTTAATGTAGTCAATTGAAGTTGCAAATGAAGCCCAGGATTTAAATATCCCGGGCTTCATTTGCATCTTGCAGGGCGCCGCCATTTTTAAATCCCCGTTAGTTCGGACTCCGTGCCCGTGGCTACACACAGCATGGAGTAGGTAGTTCGAATTAGGCTTTCTAATTCGAACTACCGTTACTCCTCGTTCCACGCCCAGCAAGATGCAAATGAAGCCCGGGATATTTAAATCCTGGGCTTCATTTGCAACTTCAATTGACTACATTAACCACCCTAGTTCGAACTAGGGTGGTAGCGTAGACATACCCTTTGTCTCTAAGGTGCCGCAGGACTCCTCATTGTTTTTACAGGTACAGACTAACACCACCATCTCTCTGTGACTTTTTAATCTCTGGAATCCACTGTCACAAGATATTACTGGAGCTAATTACTCAGTAAATGATTAGACAATCTTGCAATTACAAACACCAGCAATTACATGAATGAGGATAGCAGCTACCAGGGTAATCAATCCCCATGCTTCAGGATGTAAACAGATCACCAGTAGAGATCAGGAGAAATTTCCCTTCCACCTTGGTTAAATATGCATGGTATATTTTAAAAAAGCAAGTGATGGGTTTCTGAAAAGAATCTAGCTTTCATGTGAACTGACACAACAGACCAATCTAAAGATGGTGATGTCACTTCATTCCTCTCAACCACAAGTGTAAAGTGGTTGCCATTATACACGTCAACATTTACCGGCACTTACTGCAGAAGGCATGTCTAGCTACAGCAGTTATTTCTCTTTAGAAATACCTCTGATTCCCCTGCACAGTACAGTAAACTTCCGATAATCTGGCACCTTTAGGACCCAGGGGGTGCCGGATTATCAGATATGCCGGACTATCGGAAGGGGGGGCTATGAGGGGTCTGGAGTGGGGTGGGAGGGGATGCCACCCCAGACCCCTCATAGCCCCCCCTTACGATAGTCTGGCTCTGCCCCAGGCGTCCCTGATTCAGCCACTGCTGGTCAGTTTCAGCAGCAGCTGAATGAGGGAAGCCTGTCTGGCTGCCCCAGCACTTCCGGGTTCCTGATGGTGCCGGACCATCAGGAGTCCCGGAGCATTGGATGCTGGACTAATGGAGTTTTACTGTATTCAATGAAACAAGTGACCCTAAAGTAATTGGTCTATGCACCCTCAAGTCTAAATTCCACTGACTGGAAAGCAATCATGCAAGTAAGGGTG